CGCCAGTGGTGCAATCTGGGGAAAAATATAAATATTTGGGGTGACCTTGGAAGCTTTTCCATCTCCCAGGCATACTGCCTGGGGATGGTGCTTTGCTTCAGAGAGGCTCAAGCCCAGGGAGATAAGTAGAGCAGGAAGGCGATTACCTGTATTGGAGCACCAGGAGCAGGGGCGGACTGACCATTTTGAAACTCAGGCACTGCCTGAGGGCCTGGAGTCAGTAGGGGGCCCCATTAGATGCCCTTGGTACCTTTTTCATAGGCTTTTTTGAGTTTGGGCAAAGACAAAGGGGCCCCATGATCCCCTATTGCCTGGGGGCCCCATGAGTTGTCAGTCCGCCCCTGACCAGGAGTGAAACTTTGTCTGCTGAAGGGCTTGGTGAAAGTTGTGGACATTGCAGGAAATTCTGGTGGCTTATTGAGAAAGTATGGTGGTTTTTTTAAGTGGAGTTCCAGGATGCCTGCCTGTCTGAATCATTGCTGGGACATTAGTCTTTATTTGAAATAATGTTAGATTATGCAATTTACTGCTATTACACCAGTAATAGTACAATTTGTATTTAATGTTGCCTATTTTTGTTTGTTGTATAGAACATACAATAAGTGCAAGACTATGTCCAGCTGTATATGTTGTTCTCTGATGTAAGTTGTATTTACTGGTTTGATTATGATAAAGCACATGTGGAAATATGTAATCTCTCCCTTTGTTGGATAGAGATTTAAGGTTGTTTAAATGATAATGACTGGTTCCTGGACACTGGGTCTGTTGTCTCAATTATATGTATTTGTGTATAGATTGAGGTAAATGGCGACACAGCAAGGTAGTGACAGATTTGGTGCTTGCAGTATATTTGGTACTGATATGCATAATTGTGCAAAAATATGTTAAAACTGGCCATTGTAACCAGTCAAGTATATATAATATTACTGCATGGGGATTAATGGGGATGCACCTATGAAAATGTATATTTAGGCATCAGTAACATATGCTCCATTGTGTTTGGTGCTGGAAGATCACTGCTTATTCACTCAGGCTGGCATACATGTGGTTAATAATAAAAATCAAGAAGCAGTCATTGGATTGAAAAATGGACTTGTATCTTTGTAGCATAGGCACTATTTTGAATATATGCACTTATTCTTTAATTGAATTGGCTTTCATCACTTCAATGCTGAGATGTCTTTTTGCACTTCTCCTCTAGATGGCGACCGCCACAAATGTCACAAAAGGAGACAAACAAAAACGTTGCCATTCTCTTTCATGCCATGTGGGTTTAGGCACATGCCCCTTGTGATCACTGTGGTCAATTCCTTATAGATATTTCCATCAGAAATATTAATCATTTAGGGTGGAGCACTTTATTTCTGCAAGAATCGAATTGTTATGGTAGGTGGTGGCGGTTTCCTGCAAAGCTCCCCCCCCCCCCCATTTCCTGCTGAAAGGAGATAAAACCTTTTTTAGGTACATTAGTGATAGAAAGAAAAAATACGATGGGATCACTAAAATGAAAACTGGGCACAACACTTGGCCACCGATCACGTGTTCTCAACTCAAAGCAGTGCAGGGCCGGGGACAGGCTCTCTGGTCGGTCTCCCCGCCGTCCATACATTAGCCACCTATTACATGCAAACCACAGGCTCTCCTGACAAAGTTCCTGGGTAATATTTGAGGTCAGGGGCAGACTGACCATTTGGAAACTCGGGCACTGCCTGAGGGCCCGGAGTCAGTAGGGGGCCCCATGAGATGCCCCTGGTACCTTTTTCATAGGCTTTTTTGAGTTTGGGCAAGGACACAGGGGCCCCATGATCCCCTATTGCCCGGGGGCCCCATGAGTTGTCAGTCCGCCCCTGTTTGAGGTCAGAGGTTATACTGGGCTAAGCCCCTCCCCCTTTCCCCATGTGATCAGTCTCAGTGTGGAGTACTGAGAGGAAAAAGGATTCCCTGGTCATTGCTTCTAATGTTGAAATATTGGAATTCATGAGCATCTGATACACGTTCTTGGTTGTTTTGAAAGGGAAAGAGATTGGAATATAATGGTCTGATTAATCTCCTTTTTCCACTGAAGAACGTCTATTAAGCCAATTTTGCCAACCATGAGAGAGGGAGGCAACACTTGCTGGTGAGTGTACACCTGAGAGAGGGGAACCCCATATTTTCACAATATATTTTCTCACGCGATGGTCATCTTTTAAGCAGTTTTTGAAGAACTTTTTGTTGGATAAATTAATATCATTTGGACCTTTTTTGGGACTATACACCACATTTATTTTTTATATATGTTTTTATTGTTTATTATTTTTTATCTTTATTCATTTTTCTGTTTACATATACATTTGTCATTTTTCACACGGATAAGAGTTTATGCGTTACTTGATCACTTGTTAAGTGTTCTTTTATGTGTTTTGTTTATGTGTTTATACAGTTATTATTTGTTTAATAGAGGTATTTATTACTTTTTCACGAATTTAACACAGTTTTTTTATTACTTATCATCACCTAAACACTTATGATTAGATTTTTTGACTATATTACCAATGTTTTGGACCAGGGTGGTGCTGTGGACATAGCATACCTTGATTTCAGCAAGCCATTTGATACAGTACCACATAATGATCTAATACTACAGTTGTACAAGCTAAGACTTAGCCCTTGGGTGGTTTGGGGGATATGCTGCTGGCTAAAAGATAGATACCAGAGTGTAGTTGTAAATGGAGTTCACTCTGAAAAGAGACCAGTCACTAGTGGTGTACCACAAGGCTCTGTACTAGCTCCAGTTCTATTTAATCTATATGTAAGTGATATAACTAAAGGTTTGATGGGTAAGGTATGTCTTTTTGCTGATGACACAAAGGTGTGCAATAGGGTTGATTTCCCTGGAGGTGTTTGTAACATGGAACATGATTTGGCATTGCTGGAAGATTGGTCAAAAAAGTGGAAATTGCAGTTCATTGTTTCTAAATGTAAAATAATGCACCTAGGGAAAAAAGAATCCCTTGAGAGAGTACAACATCGGGGGTACATTGTTGGCCAGCACTCCAGAGGAAAAGGACTTGGGGTACTTATTTCAGATGATTGCAAAATGAGCAAACAGTGTGGTCAGGCAGTGGGGAAAACAAATAAGATTCTAGGATGCATCACTAAAGTGGTCACCAGCAGGAGGAAGGAGGTCCTGATTCCTCTATATATATCTTTAGTTAGACCTCATTTAGAATACTGTGCCCAATTCTGGAGACCTCACTTACAAAAAGATTTTGATAAGATAAAGCAAGTCCAGAGACGGGTAACAAAAATGGTGAAAGGTCGATCACTTCAAAAATGTACAGTCTGAGGAAAGAAGGGAAAGGGGTGACATGATTGAAATCTTTAAATACATCAAGGGCGGTGAATAAGGTTCAGGAGGGCAATTTTTTCAACATGACACCAAAATCAAGAACACAGGGACATGATACAGTCTGTAGAGGGGTAAAGTACCAAAAGCGGTAAAGGGAATGACCATGCGGCGCTGATTGTTCTTCACTTACCTTAATCTTTAAATACCGGCATCCGGCTTCTGTGTCCTGTCCCTGTGACGTCGGGAAGGGCGCGGTGAAATAAAAATTTTAAAAAAATGTCATTTTTTTTTTTTTTTCATTTTACACAGTAGCTGTTTCAACCTATTTCACATTTTGTCCCTAATTTTGTCAAACTGACCATGGCGTCCAAAAAGTGTCCCTTTAGGTCAAAAGCGGTTTAGACACTAGGGACAGCGATAGTAAATCAGAACCACTTAAAGAATAATAATGATTCTGGGGGGAAATTCGAAAAACTGTTTTGCGACTGAGCTCAGCGATGTGCGAACTTGGCGCTCTATTTCACATCAGTGTTTTTGGTTTGAAAGAATTAAATTTTTTACTGTTTTTTATATTATTTTACAGAAATTAAATTATAATTTATGTTTTGAAATGCTACCCGGGATGTTTACTAATCTTCGGACAGATTTCAGTGAGTTTTTCCTAAAAATTACAGCCTACAATAAAAAAAATACATATTTCCATGCAAAAAATTGGTACCCCTTTCAGCACCAAAAATCTGAAATAATCATACCGCCAGGGAGGTTAAACTAACTGGAGGAAAGTTCAAAACTAATCTCAGAAAGTATGTTTTACAGAAAGAGTAGTTGATGCTTGGAATTAATCTTCACGGTAGCCATTCAAAACAGAATGAGTGATAATGATATCGTGGGGGAAATTCGTCATCAGAAACTGAAAACGATTTTGCGACTGAGCTCAGCGATGTGCGAACTTGGCGCTCTATTCACATTTCAGTGTTTGTTTGGTTTGATTATATTATTGAATTAAATTTTTTATTATTTTTATATTATTTTTTATGATAAATAGCTTCAAACATGCGTGGTACAAGCATAGATCTATACTCAGACAAAAAAACAAAAAAAAACAAAAATAAACAAAAAACAAACACCACCACCCCCCAAAAAAAAAAAATGGCAGACTTGATGGACCACTAGGTCTTTTTCTGCCGTCACTTTTCTATGTTTCTATGAATGTTGAGGCATTATGCATCTCCACTCCCTATCTTAACATTTCTTTCTTCTGCAGTAGAAATTAAGACCAAACTGCAGGTGGAGACTTTTATCTTCTGTACAGTCAAAATTTTGATTATACATGCCACAAAGACAAACATATTTTTTGGATGTGGGAGTCATCTTTAGCTCTTCCCTGTAAGTAAAAGCATACACACAGTCTTTCATTATACATTTTAATAAAATTCTAATAAAGGTTATATTTTACTTCAGTGGCTATTGGTGTGTGGGTTAACGCACCTTCGTCCTGTTGAAACTCCCCCCCCATGCCCCCCCTCTCTGTGACAGTGGGCAGGGGTTCTCCACACAATTTTAAAAGAGCATGGCCGTGCAAGGCTCCGCCCACATAGCCATTTTATTCATTCACAATTTCCTGTGAATGAATATCTACAAATTCCATCAGCCGTTGTGATGGCTTGAACTAGCAGAGCACTGTTGAGCGCTCTAACAGTCCACTGCTTCTTCCTGCTCTCAGGTAACTGCCTGCCCATATGAGGTACGGTCATTCAGCAATGCTGAGATTCTGCAATGCTATGCATGCATCACAAAAAAAATAAATGCACATTTTATACCCTCCTAACACCTACCCTAACCTGCGCACATTTTATACCCTCCTAACACCTATACCAACTAACCTGCGCACATTTTATACCCTCCTAACACCTATACTAACTAACCTGAACACATTTTATACCCTCCTAACAACTATAATAACTAACCTGCGCACATTTTATACCCTACTAACACCTATACTAACTAACCTGTGCACATTTTATACCCTGCTAACACCTATACTAACTAACCTGCGTACATTTTATATCCTCCTAACACCTATACTAACTAACCTGTGGAAGAAAAATCTGTATACTTACCTATTTTCAGGCCGCTCTGGTCCAGTCACATGATTGGTTCCCCTGTGTCAGTCAATGGCAGCTTCAGGGGAGGGGAGGGAGCGCCAAGAATGGATGGTCCATAGTAAGCCTATGGGTGATGTCACAGTGCAAACATTTCAATAATGGTCATGAGCTCTATTCTCTCCTCTGTAGCTGGCCTGCTGGCTGACACTAGGGAGATCACATGACTGGACCGGAGCAGCCTGAAAATAGGTATTGTAACTATACAGATCTTTCTTTTACAGGATAATTAATATGGGAGTTAGGAGGGGGTCAGTTTTAAAATTAATTAGATATATTCTGGAATGCTGCTTTAATTGTGACATTTAGAGAGAGATTTACTAAAGCTGGTTCACTCAGAATCTTGTGCACCTGTGCATGGTAGCCAATCAACTTCCAACCTCCGCTTGTGCAATTAGGCTTTAGCAATAAAATCTGTAAGCTGATTGGTTTTCATGCAGAAGTGCACGAGATTCTGAGTGAATCTGAATAGTTTCAGTGAAAGTGAATAGTTTATTTACTAAACCTGGTTAGCTTTAGTAAATAAACTCCACAGAGTGTGATAGAGAGCTATGATTATGGCCTCATTTGCCAAAATTAGATTTTGTCATGACCAGATTTTAGCTGATTGTAACAAATCCTACAATGCTAATTTATTAGCAGAGTGCTGAACTGTTTTTATCAAGACTCTGCATGATTAGATTCTTGTGGTCTGATTGGGTGGATGGGGGATCCATTTGCTTTTTTTTTTTTTAGGCCAGCTGGCTGATCAAAAAAATAGAATAAAATGGTCCATCTAAGGACTTGAATACAGGCCATATTTGCATTTGTCACAGTGAGTTAGTTCACCATTTATGATGATATTAAAAAGGATTCATAAATCTGGTGCTAGAGTCTATATGTTTTTATAATAAATAATTTGAAAACCTATTTTGATCTGGAACTTTCAATGTATTTAAAGATGAAGTTTATTCTGCTCACATTTTACCTTCCCTAGTTCATACCGCCCCACTCATCAAAATGCAAAGGGCAGTCTTAAAAAAATACTTAACAACATCAATAAGTCTATTTGTTTTTAAATGTAATGCAGGCAGATTATGGCTGATGCAAATGACTGGCCGGCTGCTGTACATAGCTTCCTGAAACATCACAGAGCCTCAGTACTCCTCTCAAGAGCCTCACTCCTGATGCAAGCAGTGTGCTGGGTCTTGGGATGCAAATATCAAAATGTTTTGATGGGTAAATGCCAGTCTGGAGCAGTGGGAGCTCCTAGCCATACTGCATATGCATGTAGACCACCATATGTATTGCCCACATGTTACACTGAGCCTCAATGGTAAATAGAACTGAAAACAAATCAAAGGAGTGAGCCAGGGACAATCAAACTGGATGAAAGGGCTAGACTGCATATGTCAAACAGTCGAGAATTGCCAAATCTATCTGACACACTGTGGGAATTTTACAATCTGCTGTGAACTCAGAGTTGGCAATTTCAGTACAGGAATGGAGCATGGACAACCATGCAAGACTGACTGACTAAATTGTTTTATTGCTGTTTATTACATTGCCAGTTTTTTCTCAATTTGTTTTTTGCGTTTGGGGGAAAGGGTAAAGTAATTTTCTCGTACAACTTTCATATAAGTTTTGTGGGGATGAATGTGACAACATGTTAGGTATGAGTGCAATATCAAGTATAATTCTTAAATAATTTAGTTGAGGGTTTCATGATGGGGCTCTATTACGGAGAAAGAGTTTGGAAAGAGCAAAGAAGTTTCCTCTAGGTGAAAGTTTATGTGCCAGAAGAGCTCTGGCTGATCTCTCTTAGTACAGAATCTATGCCTGGCCCAAGGGAGTAATTTTGGAGGTATTTCAATTCTTTGCTTTTTTATTGTCTTTTGATTTCTTTTAATTCCCAGTACTAGCTGAATTATTTTCCCCTGATAGTCACTTTGTGGGCTATCCAATTTGTTACTGGACATGTATTTCCCAGAAGAGTTATCTGAAAGAATACCTTGTTTTAATTTTCTATAGCTTAGTGCATAGCTGGATTGGTTAGTTGCCATTGATAGTTATTGGTTAAGAGTTATTAACCCAAGCTCCAATGAGGATTTCAGTCTTGTATATGAATGAGAGTTAAGGTGATAAGTTCTTGATATGGTCTATGTGTAAGCAACTTTTATGAAGTTGAGAATTAAAGGAGTAGTCTCCAGTGGAAGGATTACGTTTCTGCCGAAATGTAATTAGAATTCCTATTGGAATAGCAAATAGACCAATCAAAGCTGTTTTTATAGGGTGTTTAAGTTTAGTTTTTGAATATATAGATTTATCTATGCTTAGTTCTTTAGGTAAATTTTAGGCAGCACTCAGTATTCCATGCCCTATAAATTGGGTAAGAGTGAAGAGAACATCTTTTGAAAATATTAAACTTCACAAGTTTTTTACTTTAAAAAAGGCCTGGATTCTTTCTTAGATACACAGAATATAACTGTATACTAACATTTATAGGTAAAGCTGATCCAGGGAATATCCGATTGCCTCTCGGGGGATCAGGAAGGAGTTGTTTTCTCTGCATGATCAAATTGGATCATGCTTTGCTGGGGGGTTTTTTGCCTTCCTCTGGATCAACTGTGGGTATAGAATTAAAACTTTTTTTTTTTTGTTAATGGTTGAACTGGATGGACTTTTGTCTTTTTTTTTCAACCAGACCATGTAACTATGTAACAAGTATTTGGGGAGTAATAAGATATGATTGTGGTTTCATGCATTTTCCTTGAGACATATTTTTCTTTTCTTCACAGGACCTATAGATGCACGGAACAATATTGATGTCACACAAATATATATCTTATCCCATTTCTTCTAATCAATATGGATTTAATCTTCACAGCTTTAAATAGGCTAGCATTCTAAGCTATACATGGATACATACACGTTTACAAATTTACATGGATCATAGAAATTTGATGTTTGATATTTAAATAGAAATGACTACCTTTTCTTTCATTCTGCTCTGTAATGCTACATGGAATTGGTACAGTATATGTTCCTGGCTTTTATGGGATCTCATGTCTTTTATGGAGAAATGTAATTTACTGTGTTTTGCTCAAATCTCATGGTGTGTCTGAAAACATTAGTGTTCTGCATTATTTGATTATTAATGGAAAACAGATATCACATTTATGGTTTCCCTAAATGGTTTTTAAATGGCTAAGATATCTCAATTGCTTCCTGCTGTAAACCACATGTTTCTCTACTTGAGAACTTATGTTTAAAATATGTTTGTCTATCATTAGTCCCTAACCCCTATCTCTTTAGAAACATAACAATATGAAAAGACTTCTTTGTATTCCTTCATGCTTGATCATTTTAGCAAAAACAAACCACACAAGACCATAATCAAAATGGGTCAACACGAACATGAGCGATCCAATAACTCCAAAATATTTTCTTTGTTTTTATTATCTCCTAGACTCCATTAGCCAAATCAAGTTTTTTTATCTCTTATTACTAGGGTTAAGAGTAAATCATAATGCAAAATCTACCAAATGATAATGTGTAACTTATTTTGTGTTCTCACTGAGTTTCTGCAATTTGTCATGTGATGTTTATTAATATTTATGTTTCAGCTAGGTTGAACATTTTTTATTTTTTTCCTTTATTGCTGTGGAAAATTGAAAGGTTGTTGTAGAGCAATTGCAGACACTAAATAGTAGTCGTCATATATACAACTGGACTTCTGTTGTTGTTCTGTAAGGCTTAAAGAAGGTTGACTACTTATCCAAGTGACTTCTTCAGTTTTAAGGAGGAAGCCACAACAAGGAGTAGTGAAATGTCTTTAAATTACAGAACAAGTCCAGTTAAATGTGACAGACTACAACTAGCTAATCTATTACCTGGGGACAATTCCAGGCAACGAGCAAACCAGTCAGGTATTTATATATTGCTATCCAGTCAGGGGCGGACTGACAACTCATGGGGCCCCTGGGCAATAGGGGATCATGGGGCCCCTGTGTCCTTGCCCAAATTTAAAAAAGCCTATGAAAAAGGTATCAGGGGCATCTCATGGGGCCCCCTTCTGACCTCGGGCCCTCGGGCAGTGCCCGAGTTTCCAAATGGTCAGTCCGCCCTGTATCCAGTATACCTTTCCTCTATGCTAAAGTCAGAAGCTTCATTCAGCTTAAAACACATTTGAAACATACATACATATGGACATCATAGCCATCTGCTAGACCTTCCTGCAGAGTACACTACAGTTAACTTTACAACCGGGTCCAGGACCCACTGCAACAGTAAACTAAAATTCTGGGAGGCTAATGTTTTCTTAAACTAATTCTACGTAAAAATGTATTCACCAATATGTATATGTCACTAGACTAAAAGGTGTTGTTCTGAATGCTTGGAGCTCAGCTTTAATCAAACTGCTATATAATTCACTGTAGCCAGTTTCAGCAAGTTTTTCAGCTGAGACTGCAGATCATATTAAACAACAAAAGTATATGGCACACAATAGAAATGTTATAAACAATACAAGAGAATATGCCCCCTAAAAATTTAAATATATATCAAACCATGTGTTAGTTAATCCATATGTGGTGGTAGAGGGAACTAGTCTACAAGGAATGGAAGACTAAAAATCAGACCAGACTATGAAGAGTTCAAAGGAGTCCATTCAGTAGACTGTGCACTTTTATAAGCATCACCACTAGAGACAGGAATGATCTCTACAAAACAACCAACACAGGGGGCGCCAGCTAAGTGCAGCATAAAAAGACATCTTTATTAATTACGCCAAATTCAAAGTCACGTGCCACAGCATGCAATGTGCTTGTCATGAATCATAAGCAGGAATCTATCCACCCAAGGAGACTCTCTCAGTAACAGCCAGCAGCATTGTCATCAGGAAGCAGCAATGTAGCCAGTTCCGGAAGTATGTGAAGCAACCCTGGTCCAAGAAACTGCAAGCAGGTGGCAACCATGGTTTCAGAGTTGACTGACTTCTTTGTCAAATAATTTCTTGTTTTGATATGCAGTGATTATGATTTTTTTAAATAATTTATTATTGTTAGTATAACACTCTAAAAATGATATCAGTATTATCCTTTCACTGTGAACCAAATATCATATTATGATAAGGCGTTTATGCACTTTAGTAACCTAACTTGTTTTCACACTGAGAAATTAAGTGGTAATTATTCAAGTAGTTTAGAGAAGGGGAGAGCATAAAGAAGACCTCAGGAGTGTGCTGATGCTCATTCATAGCCCAATGGCCAGGTTGCTGACACAGGGAGCTGAAAAGCTGTGGCCTTGCTCTTTTAACACAGTGCAGGACTGCCCACAAAACACCTGGCTTAGCTGATTTCTGACCTGTGAGCACTTGCGCTCATGAACAAATAAGCTATGATTTTGAATTTAAAAATTAACAAAAATAATGAGTAAAGCCCTAATATCCTACATGTCTCTAATTGGGGGTACAGGCAATGCAGGGAGGTATTGCCATTTGTTGGAAGCTGACCAGCATACTGGCAGATTGTTGGAAGGTTTCCCAGCCAAGGCACAAGTATGAACCTTAAACAACACACTGTCACCAGTGTATCACAGCCTGCTATACCACTGTCAACCACTGGAGTGTGCTTCACCAAAATCTAGTGGGATAATTAAAACATGATTAATATAATGTCGAATAAATATAATTCATAAATTAAAGAGTGTCCATAAACAAAAATCCATCCACTGCTTTTTCATCCACTTATGTGCCCAACACCTGTGTAAATTCCACTTGTGGCTGATTCACCACCACGTGCATTAAAATTAAATGCTTATCAGATCCATAATAATTCATGCATATCCTAAAAACAATGAGGAAGCAGACACCACCAGGGTCTTCTTTTCGGATAAACCAATATGACAATACACACACTCAAGAAACAAAAATGCTTCCCATAGTGTAGTAAATTTTATTAAATTCAAAAAAGGTTAAAGGATAAAAATACACACATTTAAAAGTGCTGCTCCTGGCACTTGCACAGCGCGTAATTGTCACCAAGCACTGCCACTCTCACAAGTTGAGCCGGCGTGTGTTCCACAGACTGCAAACCAAGTGATGTATTCAGGGGTAGGATATGACAACAATGGCCAGGCCTCAATGAATTTTGTCATCACTTTTGGTGACTTGGTTTGCAGTCTGTGGAACGCATGAGGCTCAATTTGTGGGAGCGGCAGTGCTTGGAGCCGCTGCGCAAGTTTCGGGAGCGGCACTTTTAAATGTGAGTGTATTTTTATCCTTTAACCTTTTTGAATTTAATAAAATTTACTACACTATTTACTGCTACATTTAATGATTTTAGCATTTTGATGTATTTAATAGATCATGATTTGATGATCATTTAACCATATTAGCACTTAAATGAATTTACTTTTTGTGGGGTGAGTGCCTTTTCAAAAATAGTTTTTTAATTATAAGTGTTTGGCTAGGTGGTATATTACACCAAGTTTGTTACATAAGAAATAAATAGATAAATCACCTTTATGTTGGAGAGGATGTGGGATGAAAGGCACAATGGCACACATATGGTGGGAGTGTACTAAAATTCAGGAGTATTGGGAAGAAATAATTTATCTAATTCAGGAGATAATGGGGGTTGAGGTCCCAAGAGATCCAGGCACATGGTTATTCCATAAAACTGAAGCTACAGTAGAAAAATATAAAGACTTGTTGGCAAATGCAGCAAAGGGGTTGATACCTAAATTCTGGCAAGAGCAGGAAATACCAAAAAGAAAAGATTGGATAAGTAAGTTTGACTTTATACAGGATGGAGGAACTCTACCATTAGGAAGAAGATAGAATGGAGTGATTCAGAAAAAGGTGGGAGAAATGGGATAAGTTCAAAGAGCAATTTAAAGAAAAATAAAATGGAGATAAGAAAGGAAGAAAGAGAAGGGTGCCTTGAGAGGGAAGAGAAAAGAAGAGGAGCGAGGAGATAAGAGGGAAAAAAAACAGGGAGTAGAATGGGGAAAGGGTAGGGTGGGTGGGAAAGGGTGGGTGGGGTTCTTCTTTAGAATGAAGAGGTTTAAAGGAACTGTGTATTGTTGAATATTTTGAAATTTTAATAAAATATTTATTAAAACAAAAAAAAGAAAACAAACAAGTACTGAGGAAAAGTGAAAAAGGGAAAGTTTGTTGACAGAGTCCCCTTAAATCCCCCAATTCCCTAGAGGTTAAATGGAATAGGGCTTGGCATACACAAGAGATGAGATAGTGCTTAGTATAACAGGAAACATCTAGAAATAAGAACACTGAAATCTCATGGAGAATCTATTAAGCATTTAACTATGGAGAAGATGGGAGCACTATTGTGTACAAAAAAGTCTGCTATTATTGACCGTGTAAGTCTTGAGAGAGATAGGTATTAGGAGAGATAAGCGCCACTAGAGTGTAATAAACATACCGTAGTATCAATAGCCCCTATAGTAAGAGAAGGGGAGTAAACCTTCAAGACAGGCTCCAGAAACATAGTGGGACAAAGTTCCAGGGTGTGGAGAGCCTGCATAATTTAGGATTACATACAATGGGGTTCCAGAATCCAGAAGTAAAAAAAAAAAAGATTAGGTACCTAGATATGGAGTCCAGAGTAAGAGCTGCAGGATGAAACTGAGCATTCAATGAAAAGTTGAGTTTACAAGTGAGTTTAGGAAAACACATACCACAGGTAAAAATAGGGGTATGATTTAAACAGAAGGGTTATGGCTGCAAAGTCTGCAGTCTACATTAATAAAATATTTTGCTCACCTACATGGTAGTGCAGCTGTACTAGCGTTAGGCTGAGATTCTTCAGTATCAGGGGTGTAAAAACCTTTTGACTTTCTCAGGCCACATTGGAAGAAGAGGAATTGTCTTGGTTCACACATAAAATGCGCTAACAATAAGGATAGCTGATGAGCAGAAAAAAGTTGAGTAGATCACAATTTAACAGTCACTGATATAGATAATGTGCCTTTCTGAGTAATAAAACTTCATTTTTAAAAAATATTTTTTATTATAAATGTACAAAAGGGCAACATAAAACTAGTGCGATATTTGACCCTGTTTTTGATAAAATAAAGCATTGATATCTAGTTTGATGGATGTAATAGCAATTCTCAATGAATTCTCAAGGTGCTCTTCAGATATTTTGGTTCTAATTTTGCCCTTCATGTGCTTCATCCTTGAAAATAGTTTCTCACAAATGCTGTATAGGTGCTGCCAAATACTGATGACATGAATAAGGCGTGATTATGAGCAGTAGGATATTTTTCTTTGGGAAGACAAAACTTATAAAAGTTCAGTAAAGAGACACTATCAATTTCTTTGGCCCCATGTGTTTGCATGTGTAAACACATTCTTACAAAGAAAAAAAAAATCAACATTTTTAAGTAAGCCTACAATTTTATGTAGGGCCACATTCATGGTTGTCTTGGGCCACAGGTTTGACATCCCTGTGATACATCAATAGATCGACAGTTAAACAGTTGCCCAGAATGAGAATGAGGAGGTTTGATATGCTACTGGTAAGAGTGCTTTTAAATGGGAGTGGCAGCAGCACAAGTCTCTTCTTATGGAAAGGTGGATAAGAGGGTGAGGAGCATGCATGAGTGTTGTTTCTGCATCACAACTCAGCTCATTAAATAAGTAAAACAGATGGGGTTACACACAGCCACTGTTTTGGACAAAGAAAACAAGATTTTTGTATTTACTGTAAAGTCTTTTTCTTGAAGTCCATTGAAGGACACAAGACCCACCTCTCTGTGTTTATTGGCCCCATGTACTGCTTGCTCACAAACTTGAGACATGATTGTCCACTTTCTATAAGCAGCTGAATATAACCTACATGTCTAAGCATTATTACATTCCTGTATCCCAGTGCGAGTGACCAGTGGTAGCAATATTTCCCCATGTTTTTTTCAATTGGGACATATACTGTAGTACACCATAACTAGCATCAGTATCATTGCCAGTGAGAGGAACCATGTCTCCTTATTGATGTCAGTGGAAGGAATAGTGTCCCATTTATGTCAAAAGAAGGAATAGTGCACCTTCAAAGGTACCAGTGTAAGCTAAAGTGCCCCCTTTGATCTAGAAAGCCCCCCAACACTGGTGTTCAGTGGTATTCATTTCTGTGTAGGTGTAGTCCCATGCTGTTCCTCTACTGGCTTAAGGACATCACAGCCAGAACTATGCTGTCACTATC